TGGCCCTGTCCATCTAAAGTGCCTCCCTGCTACTAGTTCTCCATCTTTATCTTTCTCCTGAGGTAGAAACGATATATAACAATGCTCTCTTTATAAAAGCAATATGTAAGGATTTGGAGATGTTTGTTTTACAAAAGAAAAATTTAACAGTTACTTTAATTATTTTTGTAAGAAAAATCTTCAAATGTTAAAAGAAGAAGACATTCTACTTTTTTCTTGCTATGTTTCTGAAATAACAGCTCTCCATCCTGGTTTAGTTGCCTTTACCATGAATTAAATTTATATGAAATTTGTTAAACATACTTTTGAGCATTTGACATTTGTAAAAGTTTTTGCTTATTTCAAATCTTATGATTTTAATAATCATTTTAATATAAATATATAGATTTTTGTAATAATTCTTATGACCAATATTTATTGACAATTTTTATATGGTGCACTTTTTTAAGATATTCATGCAATACTAAAAATTACTAATATATCAGATGAAGAAAAAAGAATTGTCGATACTGTACTCTTTAAGAAAGGTGGTCTCTAAATTATAACCAATGCAATTCCATTTAAGAGTTGAATTTTTAAGACAAATATTCTTGTTAATACTGGAATGACAAAAACATATTACTCAACCATTAACTTTCCAGCACCATTGCTTCGAGCAATATATCTTCAAAATCAGTTTGGTTTAATAATATGATCTAAATTACTACCTAATTCATTCAAGGATTTTATCATTTTGGTATTTGCAAAAATGAATTCTAATGTGTTACAAAAAAGCTTGGATGTAGGCAATAATTGTCATTTTCTTGAATGTGTATGGCAAATGAAGTTCTACCATACATCAATGCAAGTTTTTCTTATGAACATTTATGCTTCTGTAGATATTGAAGCAGTATTTGGATTAAAGGGCTACTTAGATTTTTATAGAAATAATCAGCATAACTGAGCTATTAAACTATTATGAGAAGGAGATAGTTTGTAAGAACATTAACAAAGATTTCAAAAGGATGATCGATATGCCTCTATTTTTAAATATGTAAAGGAGTGGGCAACTATTAATATTCGAAATAATAAGAAAAGACCTTCAGAACAAAAGGGAAAAAACATTATTTATGTTCTTTGTGCTCAAAACTTTGAATCTGTTCAGTTAATATATCCTGATAGAAGTAACAATCGTATTCACACTAGTCCAAATTGGATTATTCGGCTGCCGAATTACAGCCGATTAAATCCAAATTTATTAATAAAAGTTTATAC